TCTGTTACCAAGGTTACCAGGGTTATTGAAGGAGACCCGTCTGTTACCAAGGTTACCAGGGTTATAGAAGGACAGCCAACCATCACAAAGGTTACAAGAGTCATTGAAAAAGAACCAACAGTCACAAGGGTTGTTGTCGAGGGTGATCCTGCGCTGACCAAAGTGACCAGGGTTATCGAGGGAGATCCCTCTATGACAAAAGTAACCAGAGTCGTTCAAGGACAGCCTACTATGACCAAGCTTACCAGAGTCATTAGCGGTAAGTTCGAAACACTGTCAAACAATGCTTTAACGTTTCATATTGTGGCTAATGAGGATTAGTTGGAAAATCTAATCTGGACCTCACTAAATGTTAAACATGTTGATCTGGGGGCTTTAACTGCAGGTACAGAGGTTGATGAAGATTTAAAGACAATATTAGGTAAGTTTTCTCGAACACATTCAGTCCTTTGAAGTGCATGATTCTACATCTAGGATCTTATCTATATCTTTTCTGCTTTTTAACTTGTGAGTCTGTGTTAATTGTCATAAGCATCTAATGTGAAAAATAATTTCTCAGGTTAGGGTTAGGGTTAGGGTGTCCTTATTGACCATAATTAGATAATTAAATGAGACATCAGTCATTGTTTTCATGGTTTGCATCATTGCTGCCTTTAGCAACACCACACACACACCTTTACTTTGCACCCTGCATATTTGTGTGGACGTGTCTGAATGTGTGTCTGTTCACGAATACTACACATTTTGCGCTTTGGCTTTGTGTTGGCGGTGGCGGAGGAGGTTTTGTTACGGGTTGTATGTACCTGTCACTCTGTCTGTGAGTCAGTATATGCAGTTGCTAAGTCGTTAAGTGACTTTCAACATCCTTCTCCGCTGCCCGTCTGAAGGTGGAACCCGATACACCACGGAGAACGAGCCTCAGATCATTGAGGGTAGGGTAACCACTCTTGTAAATGTGTGTTAATTCATTCGCAAGATCATTAATTACTTCAGACTGTGGAGGGGAGTATCATGTATTTTTAGCCTTGTATGCCAATGTGTATATGCTGTAACTCCAAGATTTTCTATGCCACATTCAGGACCAGATTTTTCCAAAGTAACCAGCTTCCGTGAAAACCCTTCACTGCTCAGTGAGGAGTCAGAGAGAATCAGCAAATTAATTCAAGGTGATTTCAACATCAGCAACTGGAGAGTTTCCCAAATTGTGTCATATACTTGCATGACTGACACTTTTATCGCCTCATTTGACAGGAGGAGGAAAGTTTTCCGCAGCCAAGAAAGCCTCAGGTGAGAGGTTTTTAGTTGACAACAACGTTAAAATTATGTTCAATGTTATGTCAGCGAAAATTTGATTCATTTCCGCTTTTGTTTTTTCGTAATTTTCGTATCCCCATTTTTATCTTGGATTACTTTCACCATTCCAGTCTAATTTCTTCCTCTCTGGACTCATTATGTCCTCACTAACATTTACCTATTTGATTTCTGTAATTAACACTTCATTTCTTCCAGCTGGGATAAGGAGAAGAGTAAGGTTGGCCAAGCGTCATTACAAGCCAAGGGAATAAGGTCTACAGAGAGAAAACACCCAGAGACTGAATGCATATCCAGGGCTCCTGGTAGAGTGCTGGACATTTAAAGGCCTGAAAGAGGAATCAGATCAATCTAATGATTTCTTTATCCAGTCTGACTCATTCTGTGTGGAAGTCATGTTTTTTTAGATGAGAGGGAATTCAAATTCCTTTTATGTGAGTGATTTTCCTATGACAAATGGGGTTAAAAGGTGAGATATATCTTAAAGTTTTCTTTTCTTTTTTTTTCCAAGGTTGTCCTTTTGAACATTTCATTTTGTAAAAAAATTGCTTGGAGGGGGCGGGTATTGAATTCAACATGAAACAAACTTGTTTTTTACCATTGGGCTGTAATGTACCTTTGTAAATTTCCTGGTGATTAAAGGTTACAGTGAATTCTTTGTTGTATGAATGCTTTTCTGTTTTGACTGTGACTTAATAAAGTATATGGGATACTCCAAAAAGATGTTCAAAGATCGTATTTTTATTTTGATGTCTTAATGCTCTATTATAGCTGTTCTGCATTAAATCAGTCACCCCTCGAAAATGTAGCCTGCCTCAGACTCTCAGAAAGAAGAATGGAAATGATGAAATGGCATTTATGAAGAATAATTTCTTTGTAGAGAAAAAACAGATCTAAGGAATCATGCATGTATTGAATAATGTCATCTTATGCATTTTATTGGACATTCATTCAATTCAGATTGATTTGTATAATTGAAGATATACAAATTTGATATACAAGATATATACAAATATTTGTAGATTTGAAAGTATATTGACAAATCACCACAAATGTCATCTCACCTTACTTCGAGGATACAGTCAAGAAGATGTGCCAGCTTCTTCTAATATGAGATAGTGCCTTAAAATGTATTCAAGATAGCTGTGTAAACCTATTGTAACAACTTTGCAACTATTCATTCCCAATGAACAAATAATGGACCCAGAATCTGGGATTTTAAATAATATTTTAAATAAATAACATGTATCAGAACGATCAGGCATTTTGTATAAACTTGACAGATGAAAGAGGTTGTCATGATTTTCTGTGGTTGTTCTTTTTATAAGGCAGTCAGAAAAAAAGGCCTGTGTATAAGACGACATCTTGTTTTTTGGCCTGGCTGGCCTTTTTTAACATCACAAATTAGAAAGATTTCTTCCTACTTTTAAGGCAAATTAAGAAACTAAGAAAATTGTTGTTTTATTTATTCAAGGAACTTAGTGCTTGTAAGTGATGTTATTTTAATTGTCAAAACTCTTTTAAAGTGCCGTATTTTTTAATGCTTTGCATACTCTCCCCAAAATGAAAGAGGAATGTTTATTTATAGATGTTTTTTGTAATCAATAATAACCAAGTTGTAAAAAACTGATAATGAAATTTGGTCATTTAAAATATACATTCAGCTTATACATTACTTGTCAGAGAGCATTGCAATTCCTTATTTTTCACATTGTTGATGGTCTGCTGAAAATTACATTTACACCACAGTGAAACATAATCTGTTAGAAAATAAACACAGATTTAAACCCTGCAGGTGCCGTCATTTTTTCCAGCGGACAATCCAACTGATATTGGAAGGCAAATCTTAAGATTTGGCAGGGAGAATTTTACTTTTTCCATTTCCAATTCTGAGCAGACTTCAACACATGAAAACCACCAAAGTTAACTAGAACTACAACCATTTGTGTTTCTGGTGAGCTTCTCTACTAACAGTAGAGAAGCTCTGCATGGTACTGGAAGAGATGTCCTATAGGAAAATCACTTTATTCTTTATCAAATGAATATTTTTTGCTTTACATTTTCCAAGGCAAATTCACATTTGAACACACTTAGGCCCAAGGATACATACATGTCTTTGATTTTATGTCAGTGCTGAAGTGTAACATCATCAGACAATAATGAGAATAAAAGTTTTATATGTTTTTTCATTCTAATATACACTCCCAGGAAAAATAATGAGATCTCTAAGGGGTTCATACATTAGCATGCCATTTCAAGTTGAGAAAAAAGTTTGCTGGACCACAGAAGAAAACAAACGAAGATTGTTCTTCGTCTTCATTTTCAGCGACCATTTTCTTAAGGTGGTTTTCCCTCCATGATTCCTTTTTTATATTACTCAGTGTTTCTTTATAAAGTCTTCAATTAAATTAAATAAAAATAAATTTACCCATCTCTTTTCAGGCTTTACGGATTCACAGTTTTGCTTTAAAAGATCATCTTAAGTCTTTCATGATCTATTCGCTTTTTTGCTCTGAGTTTCTTGACCACTTGTGATTCTATCATTCACTTTTTGGCACTATATTCTTTATCTGTGTATATTTTCCCTGCATTTTGTCTTGTACTTATATCTGTTTGTTCATTGTAATAAGTACAAAAGCTTTGTTTACCCCTGCTAGATCATTCGTTCCACTGTCTCACCTCTGCTGAATCTCTCCCACGTCCCATTATTCAATTATGATTTCCCACTCATTATATTATATGATTATGATATGTTCTCGTTTGTTCCTCTCAGTTCTTGTTTGATACTCACCATACTTCCAGTCAAAGCCGCATTCTGTGTCTGTATTTGTTTGTATTTATGTTCCATCATGAAGTCATGCTTCCTGTATTTGCTTTTGCTTTCACGGTTCTATAAATGGTGCTCAGGCCGGTCCATGTTTTTTTGTTTACAGTTCTTAATAACTTGTGATTAATTTTCTGTCTACTTCTTGCCTCAGGATCAACATTCTGGGTCAGTCTTGTCTCTACCATTCATTGAATAGTCTGTTTGTAACACAAAAATGGGTGCTCATACATTGATCGCAGGAATGACTTTCTAAGCAGGTTCCAGGGACAGGAAAAGAGTCCAAGCTGTCCACACAGAGTGACAGATGGTTATTTTATGTCTGCCTGTGGAATTTTCCCACTGCAGATGTTGAGATCTGACCCGAGGTCTGATGTGGAGGAAGCATATCTTATTTCTTTTTACATTTAGAAAAAAAAAACATCTTTTCCATTGTTTTTTTTTAAACTGCTTTGGTTCATACAGAAATTCATCCTTTATCTATTTTGCTTAAACCCAACGAGAGGGGGCTGGAACCCATCCAAACTGAAAACAGGCTAAATACGGGGTACACCCACATAAGGTCGCCAGTCCATTACAGCATAAATAATTATTTTCAGCTTCTCCATCAAATATTATTATTTTGAAAAATCAAGCGTAAATATGTTGTCACACTGACACTAAAGTTATAAATGTTCAGTTTTAAAGGAGTGTATTATGAGTCAGGCTATTTCATTTACAGCCTATGACCGTCTCTCAATTCCTCCTGCCTTATGAAACAGAAAACAATACCAACAGCTGATTTTAACTTCTGGAAATGATAAAGTGTGACTTCATATAGATCATGCTCATTATATAGCATTTTTACAGGTCTATGACTGCTGATCATATCGAGATCTTGGAGGATTTGAGTTTAAGTCAACACTTTGAGATCTTTCTTATGCACTTGCTTTGGTACTTGCTGTGATGGAGAAACACAGTACCCTGTGTGACAATATGCAATTTACATTTCTGTAAAAAATAAATCATTAAAAGAGTTTTATAATAACTAATTCATGAAATTTGACCATATGGACCCAGTTTTGCTGCCAAATCTTATCAGTGACCCTCGGACTGATATGGCCTTTCCACTAGTTCAGAGTTGTTTGTTCTTTGGAAGTGTGCAAACCATAAAATACTCTACACAGCTGAAATAGTTATGTTCTTTATGAGATTCAATGAACCATTCAACTAGATTGTTCAAAGTGGCCCTTTTTAATGCTACACAGTAACAAAAGCTTTTTTTAAGTGCCCCGCTGCTGCCATAACCTAATGCAGAAAGGGTTTGACAAATAACCACAAAAAGGCCAAATATCTGGAATATGAAAAAGGCTGGCACTCACACAACATTTCGTTTAAAAGTCAGTGACAAAAATATCTGGCTTCATAAAAAGAATTATACTATTCTGATAGAAACATGTAGAAGCAGCTGAAGCAGAAAGTATCTTCTCAGGCAAAAGTTGAGCCTAAGCTAAAAATTATGCTCTTGTCTTTCATAGTTTCCACGTCGTGTGATGATTCCTTGACACTACTTAAATGAGATAACTCTATTTCAACCCTCTCTTGGATGTATTCTCTTGTGAAGGAGTGTAATTTATGTGAGGGACAAAATATGTACTCTGCCTCTCTATGGCTGCTGCATAGACCCTGCTCCCTTGAACTCCTGAAAAGGATGAACTGGGTATGGACATTGAATGTTATCTGTTCCAGCTGTCACTGGCTTTGATGTCTTAATATTTAGTTCTCTTTAAGAACTATGATGAGTCTATGTCTATACATGTGTCAGTTTTGTTTGGTTTTTGTCTTT